TGGTCAGGACATACTTTGTGTGCCCAGACCTTGGTTCTGTCCCTGGCACTACGTGTGCTACACACACACACACACACACACACACACACACACACACACCTGGTTGAGTATTGATGCCAGTGGCTCCCAGGCTCCCTCAGCATTGCTTGGGAACCGACCCCTAAAAAAGATTCTTTCTATTTGTTTTTAGTTATTGAAAAATGTAAAACAAGAGAGGGATAGACATAGAAAGATTGCATTCCTCTGGGGGATATAAAGTAACAAAATATGAGATTAATACCCAAGAATAGCTGAGATCAGCACCAGGAGGATTACTCCATGGCTTAGAGGCCAGCCAGGCATTCTAAGGGAAAGGGCAGCTCAGATAGAGAAGGGAGCACCAAATAAAGGGTGTTTGGAGGACCCTCCCAAGAGGGGAGATGCATGTTGAAAGTAGACTATAGACTGAACATGTTTGCCACTCAATGCCTCTTTTGCAGACCACAACACCCAAAAGGAGAGAGAGAATAAGAGGGAATGCCCTGCCACAGAGGCAGGGGGGGATGGGGGGATGAGGGTGGGAGGGATATTATCCATGGTGGTGGAAAATGGGCACTGGTGGAGGGATGGGTATTTGAGCATTGTATAATCGAAACCCAAGCACAAAAAATTGTAAATCTACAACTGTGCCTCATGGTGTTTCACTAATTAAAAAAAGAAAAATGTAAAACAGTAATTACTTCACAGGCCATATAAAAGCAGGGAGTCGTAGTTTGCCAACTTGTAAACCAGTGAGCTAGAACATATCATAGTGGTGTCTTTTTTTGCCTAAGAGCTTAGAAAATCAGGCTGAATAATTCTGTAGTTTTCTATTTCTGTTTTCTATTTCTATGTAGCTATCTAATGAGACATTTTCATTAGATAGCAAGCATGATATTTGAGCACCCATATCAGCCTCTTATCACTTTTCTGCTTTTGGTTTCCTCTAAGCCCAAGGCCTACCCTAGAAGTGTGTGCTTGCCAAGGCCGTGATTACACCAATAGGAAAACAAACTATTATATTGTCAATCTTTAGTGAGGCCGTGAATGCTCCCTTTATATTTCTGCCCAGCGCACACTGATCTGTATTAGACAGTTCACACTCTGAAATAGCACACACCCAAATTTCCAAATCTCAATTGTGTCATCAACGTCTGGATTAGCTAGAGGGTGGAGTATACAGAACTTTGCCCTATCTGTGAACTGTAAAGCGAAAACTGGTAAGGAAGACAGACAGACCTGGGCCAAGCTTTGCCACTTGCCAACTCTATGTCATGGTCACGGTCCTCCCATTGTTCATCAATTTGCTCGAGAGGGCCCAGTAACGTCTCCATCATGAGATTTGTTGTTACTGTGTTTTGGCATATCAAATACGTCATGAGTACCTTGCCAGGTTTTGCCGTGAGGGCAAGATACTCTCGGTAGCTTGCCGGGCTCTCCGAGTGGGGCGGAGGAATTGAACTCGGGCCAGCCATGTTGGCCGCTTGTAAGGCAAACGCCCTGCCACTGTGCTATCGCTCCAGCCCAGGGGGCTGCCAACTCTATGTCTTGTGTAAATCATTTAACCTTTGTCAACCACTTTGTCTTCAGAAAAAGAAAAATTAAAAAAAGGGATAATTGTATGCACCCCATGTGTTGTGCAAGGATTAAATGAGATAATGGATTTAAAGTGTCCAAAGATTGCCTGCCACATATCAGAGGTAAATACATGTCAGGTTCCTTTTCCATTTCTTGCCAGTACCCCCTTTTTCCTTTTTGCGTCTGAACTAACAAAAGTCCTGGGCTTGATTCCTGGTTCATTCTGCACAATCCACAAGAACATTTATTTCGGGGGATGTCCTATTAGCGTTTCTTATCTCTGAGTCCTCCCAGCAGTGATGAATAAACTCAGTCACTGATGAGAGGGAAGAAGTAAATGTTTAGAAAAAAGTAACAGAGGATAAAAGAAACAGGAAATGGGAGTGACAGTGGAAGAGAATGGAACACACAAGAGGTACACCTGATCGGAGTGGGACTCTTTCTTACTTAGAAATCTTCTCAGGTGTGTGGTACAGTTAAGATTCCGAGGAGGTGATAAAACAGACCCCTGTTCAAAGCCTATTGGTTCAGGGACTTTGAACAAGTTGCTTACCTCTTAACACATGGAAAATGCAACAGCAGCTCAATTCTACAGAATTTTGGCCACAAGTCAGTTCTCTCCTATGTGCTTCAGTTCTCACAAGTGCCCACATGAGACGTCAGACTGTGATGCTCACTTGACACATGGGGAACTGGCTGCAGGATGCTGTTCTTATTTGTTCAAGATCACAGAGCCAGGGCATTCCCTAGTCTGGCTCTGTAGTTCATACTTTCACCATACTCTGGAATGATATTGGAGGGTGGGGGTGAGGAGACAAGAGATGTAAGCACAGGTGCCCCACCACAGGACCTGCCCATTCTGAGTGCTGGTTCATGGGTTCTCTTCCTCTCTCTCTTTCTCTTCTACTCGTCTTTTGTTATCCAGGTGGAACTTAATTTTCTGGAAATTTCCATCAGGTAAAATGGAACTTGCTACTCCAAAAGGAATGCCCGGGTAGCTTCACCTCTAGTATTTTCTAAGTGTCATTGTGAACAAGTTAGGTTGGTGTACTTGAAGTCTATTTTCAGGAGGCATTTCTGAACTCCTGATTGTAAATCAAAATAAATCTGATAATGCAAGAATTAAAACACTTTCTCAGTCTCTCTCACTGTCTCACACTCACCCCCATACACACTAATACACACAAAGTATACCTACTCACACACAAATGTATACAGCCACTTACACTCACACTTTCATTCTCTCACACAAATGACATCCACATACACGCAAAACTCACCCCACACTAAATTGCATACCCATTTACACTCACACATTCACACACAAGCTCATACCCACATACCCAGAGGTGGAGCGGATGATTCTGTTTCATCACTGTGTTAGGTTAACTCTCTCAAACTCGCTCTGATTCGACCATTCATTTTCTTATAAATTAGCAGCTACTTTTTCTATCAGCTCTGCCTGTTCCAGCATCATGTAGTTAGTAATGCCTGGCTTAGTCTCTCAGCATTTAACAGCTCCTGGAAGTCAATTATATTCTAAACACCAGGCTAGGTATGAGGAATGTTATAAGGAACTAAGCACTAGGCTAGGTATGAGGAATGTTATAAGGAAGTGCTAGGCCTTCCCTGCATGTAGATCTTTGTCTAAAGATCATAAAACTAAATTGCTCTACTGCCAGGTGTGTTCTGGAATGGAAATAAACACAAAGAGTGGCATTGTACTTTTACAATCCCTGACAATCACTGTCCTCCCGTCATTCATCGATTTTCTCGAGCGGGCCCAGTAACGTCTCCATTTTGAGATTTGTTGTTACTGTATTTGGCATATTGAATACATCATGGGTAGCTTGCCAGGCTCTGCCCGTGCGGGTAAAATACTCTCGGTAGCTTGCCCATGCGGGCAAAATACGTATTTGCCCCATGTGGGCAAAATACTCTTGGTAGCTTGCCGGGCTCTCCGAGAGGGGTGGAGGAATTGAACTCGGGTCAGCCATGTTGGCTGCGTGCAAGGCAAACGCCCTACCGCTGTGCTATCGCTCCAGCCCTGTACTTTTACAGCATCAGAAATCTTTTCCTTTTAATTTGTCTTTATTTTTCTGTTAAGAATTCTTTCTGGGGGATGGAGCATTAGTACAGTGGATAGAGTGCTTGTCTTGCACGTGGCTGACCCGGGTTCGATCCCTGGCATTCCATATGGTTCCCCAAGCACTGCCAGGAGTAATTCCTGAGTGCAAAGCCAGGAGTAACCCCTGAGAATCGCTGGGTGTGACCCAAAAAGAAAAAAAAATTATTTCTGTACTCCAAAAAAAAAGAAAAAAGAAAGAGGCCATACTTTTCTTGAGTTGTTTTATTAGTACATGTTTTAAAGATTAAGTTGTGCATCTCATTTCTTTTTCATAGATTTTTTAAATTAATCTTTAAAGTAAGCCATTTTTGTTCTGATGCCATATTTGTTCATTTTTTATCAAAAGAAGAAGGGTTGGTTTGCAGTGCACATAGAAATAGTATGGGGACTATTGTCTGTCATGGAGGCAGGGGGAAGATGGGAAATGGGGGGTATGCCGAGGATATTGGTGGTGGGGAATGTGCACTGGTGGAGGGATGGGTGTTTGGTCATTGTGTGATTGTAACCCAAACATGAAAGCTTGTAACTATCTCACGGTGATTCAATAAAGTTTTAAAAAATAAATAAACAATACTATCTATTAACAGTGTTGCAGCCATCTTACCTAAACTGCAGTAAAAATTAATTATTTTATCTTAAGAAAAAAAAGTACACTAATATTTTTCTCGAACCAATTTAAAGATTTGCACTTTGTTAAAAAAAAAAAGAAATTTTCTTTCAAAAAATGATATTTTCAAACTGAATTAAAAATATCATGGCGTTGATCATCTTTATTTTGTGAGAATTATCTATTCATAAAAAGTTGCCATTTTTTACTGAAAATATACACATGTTTCCATGCAATATAATTACATAATAATATTATTATAATAATATTCTATATAAATGTAATGTGTAATGCAACGTAAATTAGACCTTTCATTTTAAAAAATTAGAAAAAGGGTTGGGCTGGAGAGGTAGTACAGAGGTTGTGATGCTTGCCTTGCATCTTACCAACCCTGCTTCAAATCCCCAGCACAAAGCTAAGTAAGCACTTCCAGTGGTCACTCCTGGGAACCAGGACGAGTCCCTGAGAAACCCCAGGTGTGTCCCAAACACAAAAGCAAAAAGAGTAAAGAAAAAGGGAAATACGGCATGAGAAAATAAATATTACACCAGTGATTTCCCCTTCCCCCCCCCCCCCGTGATCGCTCACTAAATTAAAACCCTGACTTTCAAAGGTTTCATACCATTTGTGCATATATATATATGAACTGTGTTTTGTCTTTTGAAACAGAGCCTATTGGCATGTTAGATGTCTGGCACATGAAACAGGACATTGACCACAAACGACAACAGATTTCTCTTTTCTGGAAGGTAAGTTTTTTTTTTTCTTTTTGGGTCCCACCTGGCGATGCACAGGGGTTACTCCTGGCTCTGCACTCAGGAATCACTCCTGGCAATGCTCAGGGGACCATATGGGATGCTGGGAATCGAACCCGGGTCGGCCGCATGCAAGGCAAACGCCCTACCCGCTGTGCTATCTCTCCAGCCCAGGAAGGTAAGTTTTTAATGTCAGCTTAAAATTCAGGATAAATATATATCACTGTATCACTGTCATCCCATTGTTCATCGATTTATGTAAAGTCTCCTTTCATGCCAGCCCTGAGATTTTAGCAGCCTCTCTTTACTCAGTAAGAGTAACAGTAAATATATATATATTATATATATATATATTATATATATATATATGGGTAGTTCTGTGAGGTAACTAACTGAGAAAATTTAGTATACCTGAGCAATGTTTTTGAGGCCAGAAAAACCCCTTCTTCTTCCATTGTGACTTTAGTCTGGGACTCCAAAGACTTTGCCAAAGTTTGTCTTCTCAGCTGTCTCCTCCTCATCCTTGACTCGTGAGCTCGTGTCCTGAACTTTGCCAGATACACGTCCGAGCGCTTTTGGCCTTCTTTCCTCTACACAGCCTCATCTTTTGTTTCTGTGGCGTTTTTCTGGTGGTTGTTATTGTCGGCTGGCACACCCAGCAATGCACAGGGGCTTGAGGGTTGTTTAAGGAGGGGCACAGGGGACTGTGCAATGGCAGGAATCGAACCTGGGTCTCCTGCACGAGAAGTTTGCTTTGCTCTCCAGCTGCACGATCATACATTTTCCTCATCCCCTTCCACAGGGACCCAGGTCTCTCGCGATCCCTCACTCATCTGTGCTTTGACCCCCATGCACCTTCCGCCCTGCGCCTTCTCCCCCTACAAACCATATGCCCAAGATTCACCATTGCGTCATCACACACTCACTTTGTGAGCAGCTAAGGGTGGGGAAACTGGTCGTGGATCTCTGGGAATACTCTTTCTATTTTTCCCTGGGAAGGAGAAAAAGTTGTCCTTCCTCGGGAATGCTAACAGCTGCAGAAACAGACAGCCAGGGAAAGTACCCCCTCCTAAATGCAGTCAAACAGGAGCAAAGAAAGCAACCCTATGGCAAACAATGAAAACTCAAGTTATTACCGAATATGAGCATGGCACCAAAATCCTGAAAAGGGGGCCCTTGTTATTTCATTTCATCCTCACAGAAATGCTGTGAGGTTGAGCCCAGTATCCCCACAATTTTTTAACAAATGGAAAAAAATAAAAAACGAGAATCAGAGAGAATATCACCAGGGTTGTGAGTGCGGAGGTGGACCGGAACCCCATGGGAATCTTCCGTCAGCCAGCACGCCCTTGTCAGGTGAAAATGTTATTTGAATTGAGCCCTGGATTGGCTTGTTCTCAGACAGGGGTTTGGGATGAGCCACACTTTTCTTTTATTTTCCCAAACCTGCATGCCTTTCACAGTCTCTCTTCCCATTAAGGCCGATGCACAATTTGGGGGTGAAGCTGCTGAGTGTGAAACCAGATGGGAAAGACACGTGTGTGTGTCTCTCACAGGACTGGCCCGATCAATTTGGATCATTGTCGTCTTCGCTCGTCTGAAATGCCTCATCTCCCTCGTTTTCCTTTTCCTCTCTGTCGTAGAGGCACAAAATATCTGGTAGGAGCGGAGACCACTATAAATAGCTTGGTGAGTCACAATCAAGCGCTTCACTTTGAAACTAAAACTGCAGTTCAAATTTTATATGAAAATAAGGCCACTTTTTATAGGCTAGTCCATTCTGAAAGCAAGCCACCTCGAGCGGCCCTAATTGGGGGACGAGTGTGGAAGAGCCCAGCTCAACTCTCAGCCCTGAGTTTTTACTTTCTTCACAAGGAAGCGACTGGGTAAACCCCATGTTCATCCTCTCCTCAAGAACTCACCTTTCACCGTCTCCTCCAAAGTGCTCTGAGGGGCCGGAGGGAAAATGCAGTGGGTAGCGCGCTCGCCTTGCATGTGGCTGACCGAGGTTCAATCCTTAGCATCCTATAGGTTCCCCTGAGCACTTCCAGGAGAAATTCCTGAGTGCAAAGCCAGGTGTATTCCCTGAGCATCAACAGGTGTGTCCTAAAAGCAAAAAAACAAAAATTTTTTTAAAATGCTCTGAAAAAATATAAAAACTAGCTATTCTGTTTCCAACTTTCCCTCCGCTCTACAAAGCGTCTCTCCATGAAAGAAGCCCACACTCCTGGTCTCTGGGCAGCTGGCAGGGCTAGTCAATGAGATGACACAAATGCAGAAAAGCCACTGGGGCCACCAAGGAAATAACTGGGATGTCCCCCATCAAGAGTCCCTCCATCCTGACAGTGAAAGTGGCACACTCAGGGCCATGCCCAGGTGCTTCTCACATGGGAAAGAGTATGAGACGCTAAGCATTAGAACGTTGTGCAAGGAAGTCCCCGCAAGCCATGGGCAACACTAGTTCCCCTCTGGTCCTCATTTTGTTTTGTTTTGTTTCTTTTGGTTGCGGGGAGGGGCATACCTAGCTCTGGACTTACTCCTGGCTCCTTGCTCAGAGATCACTGCTGGAGAGCTCTGGGGACCCAGTGTGGTGTCAGAGATCAAACCCAGGTCAGTCACAGGCAAGGCAAGCACCTCAAGCCTGTGTTATCTCTCTGACTCCTCAGTTTACTTTGGGTGTTTGGTTTTCTGGAGGGGAGGATTTAGGACCACACCCTATGGTGCTTGGAAAGTACTCCCAACTCTGTGCTCAGGGAACCATGTAGTGCTATGGACCAAAACCAGGCCCTGCTGTATACAAAGCCTGTGCTCAAACCATTGGACTATCCCTCTGGTCTGAAAAAGATTTCCTTTCATTTTATGGAACCTAAATTGTGAGTACAAGAAGGAGACTTTGGGCTGGAATGGACTTGAATAAGAAATCCAAAATAAAAATACTACATGTTACTACATCTTTCTAGAAGGATCTAGAACCAAAGGGCAGATCCCAGCCCCCTAGTGAGTGTTCAGCCTGTGTTACTCTAAGGAACGTTGGATTCACTCTTCATTTTCTGTTTGTTAGAGGAATAAGTCTTTTTCAGTACTGCCTTGGGAACCTTCTATGTCCCCAAGACTTGCACTTGCTCCTTGCTAGAGTGAAGCCAGTTATAGTTGGAGATGGGCTGTGATTTTTTCCGCTTTGGACATAGTCAGTTGTCTAACCCCAAAGGAAATGTAACCAGAATGCAGAGCCCAACCCCACCCCAACACACACACACACACACACACAGACACACACATACACACAGGCATATACAGATACACACAGACACACACAGACACACACATACACAGACACACACAGACACACAGAGACACAGACACACACGCTTATTCTGTAAACTCAGACCCACACTGAGAGAGGATGTGGTTCTCCTGGGCACATTTCCCAGGCCTAATGCTGACTGCTGGCATCCTTTCCTGGGTGGAAATGTCTGTCCTTCTGTCAGAAACCACGCCCGTCTCCCTTCCTCTGGAGTCCTTCGTTCCACTCTCAGGCGGGCTTGGGCGTTTGAAGGTGGGTGGTGTTGTGTCTTAAGAGACTCATCTGCGCGTCAGACCAGGGAGAACTGCAGCGGTGAGAGCAGGTGCTTTGTGGTGGCACCCAAATCAGACCTGGGTGCAGGAAGGAAGCAAAGGCTCGCCTGTGGTGAGGTTGGGTTGGGTTTTGCCTCCCCTTTTTTTTCGAAATTCAATCAATACTGGGAAACCTGAGGGACAGTCCAGCGTTGCAAAGAGAGGGGATTTCACATCTTGGCACCCAAGGAAGCCCCAAGTGAAAACCCCATCAGCCTGTGAACACAGTGAGGGCACATTTCTAAGTGGGGAGAGTGGGTTTTATTTTTGTAGGTGTTTACAGTAGAGGAGAGCGTGCCATGCTGGATGGCCGGGGAGATAGTGTGTGAGCAGATGAGCGTATGCGCGTGACACTAGGATGGAGCCTGTGTGATAGCGTGTACACTTGTGTTTGTATGTCTTTGTGTTAGCATGTGCACTTGTGTTTGTTTATGTCTGTGTGATAGCATGTGTGCTCGAGTTTGTATATGTGTGTGTGATAGTGTGTGCACATGTGTTTGTATATGTGTCTGTGTGATAGCATGTGTGCTTGTGTTCCTATATGTGTCTGTGTGATAGCATGTATGAATGTGTTTGTATGTTTGTCTGCGTGATCGACGTGAAGCTGGCAAGTACGTGAGGTCTGTGAGTGAGTGTGACTGTGAGCGAGTCAGTGTGCCTGAGACAATGATTGTGTGTGAATCGCAGATGAATGTGAGTCCTGAGTTTATACTGGTGGCTAGAACAAAATACCTTATGTTGACAAACAATAGAAAGTTCTTTCAGGAGGCTGGAAATCTAAGGTGAGGCAACCAGCAAGGTCAGGTGACAACCCCGATCTGGGTCACAGATTTCCTGTTGTGTCCCCACCTGACAGAGGGTTAGGGAGTCCTCAGAGGACCGCGCCTTAAGAGTGTTCTGAGGGGCACCTCCTTTAGCCCACACTCATTTCCCACCTGCCCCACGTCCTGACTGCATCCACTGAGCACAGACTACAGACCAGAGAGGTGAATGAGTGATAGAGCTGAGGCAGTGTTGATCTCCATGAACACACGAGTCTCTGGGAGGGTGGATCCTTGTGTGGAAGGTCAGAAAACCACTTCTTTGCTAGCCTCTGCTTTATTTTGTTTTTTGAGTCTACCCTGGCTCTGGGCTCATGGATCACTCCTGACAGATCCTGACAGATCTTGGGGAACTCTGAGGTGTGAGGGTTGAATCTAGGTAGGCCACGTGCAGGGCAAGTGCCTTACCTCCTGTGCTATCTCTCTGGACCCTTTTTGTCATTCTTGTTCCTACAAAGTCACTCATTTCCCAACTCCTTGGTGTCTCTTGAAAGCTCCTTTTTTTTTTAACATCCTGTACTACTTTTTCGCTGTAATTATTTAAAGACAAAAACTACT